GCTGCTGCTGCTGCTGCTGTTGCTGCTGCTGTTGCTGCTCTTGTTGTTGGTCATTTGATACATTGTTTGTGGTTGGAGGACACCCCTGCTCTGTCTTACTTCTCTGTGTGCATTCTATTTTTTCTTTAAGATGTAAGTATGCTGTTCGTTTGATATACTGGTAAACTATTTGAGGGCGGGTTGGGTGTGTATGAGGAGGGGGGGTGGCCATTGTAAGGCTTATTTCTTCACTTACACGTTCAGGCTTTCCCAGTTCGAACTTACAGTAAGTTATCGTATCAATGAGCTTCTTTCTTCGTAAACCAAGGCGGGTGGTTGGAGGGCGCCACTGGTAGGTCCTACTCCTTTACTTTCCCTCCGTTGTTTCTGTCTGTCTGTCTGTCTGTCTGTCTTACTTTTTTCCCAGCACTAAATGTCCAGTAATGTTTCGATGTGCTTCCCTTTACTCAAACAAACAAGCACCCAAGTCAAAGTACGTACATAATGTGTAATATAACTAAAGATCATTTATGGATTTTTAAAGATTTAAGTTATTCTGCTCTGAAAAAAACTATTTCTTTTAAATTCGTTCAAGTCAGCTTGCCGTAGATTAACCCTCATGTCCTACGCTCTGTAAGAATTAATAGAATTCAAAGAACTTTGAAAAATTGGGATACAGTAAACATAAGAGTATCCAACGAGTCACATTTGGTAAGAATGAACTATAGACGAGTGAATACGTTTGGCTATAATATTCTGTCACGTGCACGAGGGAAGATTTCTATGTTTCCGTAACGAAAAAAAAAAAAAACGAGGCAACTGCTCACGAATAACATTTTTCAAATCTTTCACCACAGAGTGCTATGACGAAAACGAGTGAAGGCAAAGATGATGACGACGATGACGATAATGACGATGATGAAAAACTGCCAGTCGGACCCGGCATTGACCCGGAGAGGTTGAAAGCGTTCAATGTAAGTCTCAACGAAACATTTTGCTGCGGGATTTCTATTTCATTGTACAAAGAGAAAGGTCACGTTGGTGGTGTTATTGTTTCATCAAAGTATTTCTTCTCTAGCTTTAATTAACTTCAGTTCGTAATTTTCAAAGGCTAAAGGATTATTTTCTTCAAATGTGATGCAGTGTGGTGGAATCAGGCTGTCGTCAATTGTTGGGCATGTAGAGTTATTGGTATCATCTTAAAGCTTGTTCACTTGTCTTTATTTGGATTTTAAAAAATATCTATTTATCTTGAATACAAGTCAGGATATTTGCGAATCAAGGAGGTGGGGGTCGCCAGTTTTCAGAGGTAAAATTAGTGAGAAAATGGCCGCCAAATATTAGTTATTTCCTTAGCTTAAGAGTCCGTGGTAACTGAAAATTTACATTTTCTGTGCCTTTAATCAACGCTTTTCAGAAAAATCCAACCAGAAATTTGTTCTTTAAAGGGCATGAAAGGTGTTGAGCCAAAAATACAAAAATTTGATAAGAATTCACAAACTTGCGGAAAAATGCAAGTTTCTCTACTTTGGTTATTTTGACGAGAGCCTGATTACACCACGCTGCCTCACAAATATAAAAAACAGCGTGTCATCTGATGTGTGACATTATGGCAATTTTAGTCACTTCAGCACCATGCTCAATGGGTACATGTGTCCGTGACGTAGCAGTTAGGCGCTTTGCAGTCGTACACAGTCGACGTGAGATCAATTGTCGTACGAGAAGAATTTTTATCCACTGTTACCGCCTCTCTGTTGGGATGTTGTATCCCTCTCAGCCCGGTATGACCCTTAAAGACAGGATCGAAACAGCCTTTCTTCTAAATTTTATAAATCGTGTGGATGGGGACGTAACACATTTTACCATCATAATTTAATACAATTCTTATGTCATGCTTATCTCTCAAGAGATGGGGATCAGATTTAACTTCTGTTCAATTTGTCAGTTTTCTTTTCTGGGAGGAAGACATTATTCTGAAAACTGTTATTCAAAGATACAAATCTGCCATGGACAAATGGATCATTTTGGCTGACTGCAGTGGTTTTTCTATGTCTACGATCTTATGTTTGTACGAACGATTTCAGTAATTCAAAACCTAAAGTGTTTGTCTATAGGAAATTTCATTTTATATATTTAAGGTGTAATCTGTTCACGGAGTAGGAAGAAGAAAAAAGAGAGGAAGAGAAAGAGAGAGACAGACAGATAGACATAGAGAGAGAGATAAAGAGAGAAAGAGAGACAGGGGGGAGCAGACAGATAGAGGGATAGTGAAAATGAAAAGAGGGGGGGATTGAATTGACCCTTTCTCTTGAAATGTATTTACCTCTTCACATTCAGGTCCACTGTTTTCCGAATTTCTGAGAAGAAGACCACACTCTAAGAGAAAAACTCTTTAATTGTTTATGATTCTTCACTCCCCAGATGTTTGTGCGTCTGTTTGTAGACGAAAACTTAGACCGTATGGTCCCAATCTCTAAGCAGCCAAAAGACAAAATTCAAGCTATCCTTGAGGCCTGTGATAGGCAGTTCCCAGAATTCCATGAACGCTCCCGGAAGCGCATCAGGACATATCTCAAGTCGTGTCGACGCATGCGCAGATCCAAGGAACATAATGGCTGGGAGCCAGTAAGTTTTGCTTTCTCATAATATTGTGTT